ACAGGCCCCCTCCCTCGCTCAGCTCCAGCCATACCAGGTGCTGCCTGCATGTCTATCCCTGCCCCAGGGCCTTTGCACAGGCTGTTCCCCCTTCTGGGAAAAATCTCTGCCCTCGTGGAGCTGACTTTCAAGATGGGGAGAAAAACATAACCTTGGGGTACATGATGTATTGTGTTAAAAAGTGAAACATGGTTTGGGGGTGGAGGGAGACCATGGTCTAAGGGGTGGGAAGTTAAAGTTTACAATAGGACAGCCAGGGCCATGTCCAGACGACATTGCAGCAGAGACCCAGAGGAGGAAGGGAACCAGTCATGGGAGTACCAGGGGAAGAGCTTTTTGAGCAAAGGGAACAGCCAGCGCAAAAGTCCTGAGGCAGGCTTGTTGGACGGTACCTGACTTGGGCGCTCACGGGCGCCCCCTGGTGTCTTCTTGGGGAGGACAGGCTGTGGGGCCAGGGTGGGAGCCAGGGATCAGGGCGGATGCTGGTCCAGGTGGGCAATAACGCATCTGGAGCAGGTGAAGGCAGAGCCAGGGGAGCGCAGAGCTGGGGTAGATTCTTAACGGAGCAATTCCCGGTGTTTCCAGGCTGGACTAAAGGAGTTTCCATTTCCTATGGGAGGAGCTACTGTGAGAGGTGACATGAGGACAGGCTAAGTTTGGGATGTCTCATCAGTAACTAAGTGGAGTTGTCCGGACTAGAACCAGAGTCAGGAGCTCAGAGGAGGCCCCAGGCTGGAGTCAGGACTGTGTGCATCATTGGGGCATAGATGGGGTTCCAGCCCCAAGAATAGATGAAGCCATCAGGGAGGGGTGTGTGTGGGGCCCCAAGACTTGGTGCTGTGCCAATGACGGAGAGGAAGGGGAGATGGAGGCGGGCCCAGAGAGGCAGGAGGGAAGCCTGGAGAGCATGGGGTCTCCAAGGAGCTCCCAGAAGAAGAGGGACTGGCCCAGTCAGATCTGCCGAGGGGGAAAATGCAGACTGAGATGTGACCACCAGGTCTGGACACTGGGAGGTCACCTTTGGGCAAGGATGGTTCTAGGGACAGCTGGCTGGTGCAGGTTCGAGAGAAGGGAGAGAAACGGGAGCTGGTGAGGGTCTGATAACCTTCTAGGGCTTACAGGGGTGAGAGCTGGAAGGCGCAGGGTCAGAAAGGGCTGTGGATAGTGGTTGCTCTTCTGTTTTTAAGAAATCGCAGCCTGTCTATGCTGATGGGCAGAGGGAAGACTGGAGACGGGAGAAACTGAAATGATGGCCAAGTTGGCGGGAGGGGCGGGGCTGGAGACTAGGGGATCCATGGGGAGGTGGCTCACGCCCAGTGTCCGAGGATGACCCTGTGAGATACAAGAGACGTAGGTTTGGTTTTCATCCTGGTTCCCGGCATGGCGCTCCCAGAGCCCTGTAATCCCCTGAGTGATGGGCCAAGGGAGCATCCTTTGTGGCTCATAACCAGGCCCTTTCCACCACACCTGAGTGGATGCTGATGAGGACAAGCGTGGGGAGCCTTGGGATGGGTCTGGTGGCCAGGGAACCGACCCTGGGGTGAGAGGGATAGAACTTTCAGCCCAACCCATCCCCAAGCCCCAGGGAGAGGAGAGGGGCTGGGGGTTGAGCTCATCATCAATGGCCAATGACTTAATAAGTCATGCCTGTGTGGCGGAACTGCAGTAACAACCCTAAAGGAAGGGGCTCAGGGAGCTTCCAGGAGAGTGAAAGCTTCCATGTGCCAGGAAGGGGGTGCACCCCAAACTCCACGGGGACAGAGGCTCCTGCACTCAGGACCTTTCCAGACCTCGCCCTCTGTGCCTTTTCATCTGCCTTCTTTATGATAAACCGGTAAGTAAAGTGCTTTCTCGAGTTCTGCAAGCCATTCTCACAAAGCCTCTAATGAGGTGGGGTAACGGGAACCCGAATGTATAGCCAATCGGTCAGAAGTAGGGAGGCCTGGACTCGGGACCAGCGTCTGAAGTGGGCTCAGCCCTGCAGGACTAGCCCTGGACCTACAGGGTCTGCCCTGATCATGTGCAGATGGTGTCAGGGCTGAACTGAATTGTAGGATGCCCAGCGATGTCCGCGGAGACATGGAGGACACGTGGAATTAGGTTCGATTGTGGTTTTGGGGTTTTTTTTCAATGTGTTAGTTTCAGGTGTACAACAAAATGGTTCAATTATATATATATATTCTTTTTCAGGTTCTTTTCCATTATAGGTTATTACAAGATATTGAACACGGCTGCCTGTATTCTACAATAAATCCTTGTTGTTTATCTATTTTATATACAGTGGTGTGTATATGGTAATCCCAAACTCCTAATTTATCTCTCTGACCTCACCCTTTTCCCCTTTGGTAACCATAGTTTGTTTTCTATTGTGTGAGTCTATTTCTGGTTTGTAAATAAGTTCATTTGTGTCCCTTTTTTTCTCGATTCCACATATAAGTGGTATCATATGGTATCTGTCTTTGTCTGATTTAGTATGATAATCTCTAAATCCACCCATGTTGTCTTTTCATTTTGTGTATGGTTTCCTTTGCTGTGCAAAAGCTTTTAAACTTAATCAGGTCCCATTTGCTTATTTTTGTTTTGATTTCCATTCCTCTAGGAGATGGATCGAAAAAATACTGCTGTGATTTATGTCAAAGAGTGTTCTGCCTGTGTTTCCCTCTGGGAGTTTTAGAGCATCCGGTTTTACATTTAGGTCTTTAATCTATTTTGAGTTTGTTTTTATATACGGTGTTAGAGAATGTTCTGATTTCATTCTTTTACATGTAGCTGTCCAGTTTTCCCAGCGCCACTTATTGAAGACACTGTCTTTCCTCCATTGTGTATTCTTACCTCTTTTGTCACGGATTAACTGGCCGTAAGCGGGCGGGCTTATTTCTGGGCTTCCCTCCCTGTGCCATTGACCTCTGTGTCTGTTTTTGTGCCGGGGCCGCACTGCCTTGCTGCCTGTAGCTGTGTAGAATAGTCTGAAGTCAGGGAGCATGATTCCTCCATCTCCGTTCTTCTTTCTTAAGATTGTTTTGGCTATTCGGGAGCCTTTCGTGTTTCCGTATAAATTAAAACTTTGTTTTGTTCCAGGTCTGTGAAAAATGCCATTGGTAATTTAATAGGGACTGCAGTGCATCTGTAGATTGCCTTGGGTTGTACGCCCATCTTAACAACACTGACTCCTCCAGTCCAAGAGCATGGTGTGTCTTTCCCTCTGTTTGTGTCGTCTTCGATTTCTTTCATCAGGGTCTGACAGTTTTCGGAGTATAGATCTTTTGCCTCCTTAGGTAGGTGTATTCCTAAGTATTTTATTCTTTTTGATACAATGGTAAATGGGATTGGTTCCTTAATTTTGCTTTCTGATATTTTGTTCTTAGTGTATAAAAATGAAACAGATTTCTGTACATTAATTTTGTATCCTGCAACTTTACCGAATTCATTGCTGAATTTCTTTTTCCTGCCTAATAACTCTGGTTAGAACTTAACAACACTATGTTGAATGGAAGTTGCCACGTGGGCATCCTTGTAGAGGAAATGCTTTCAGCTTTTCACCGTTGAGTGTGATGTGAGCTGTGGCATTTATTATGTTGAGGTATGTTTCCTCTATGCCCAATTTTTGGAGTTTTTTTTAATCACAAATGAATGTTAAATTTTATCAAAAGCTTTTCCTGCATCTATTGAGATGATCATATGGTTCTTACTCTTCAATTTGTTAACGTGACGTATCACACTGCTTGATTTGCAGGTACTGGAAAATCCTTGCATCCCTGAGATAAATCCCACTTGATCAGGGTGTGTGATCCTTTTAATGTATTGTTGGGGTCAGTTTGCTAGTATCTTGTTGAGGATTTTTGCATCTATGTCCATAAGTGATACTGGCCTGTAATTCTGTGTGTGTGATATTTTTGTCTGGTTTTGGTATCAGGGTGATGGTGACCTCATAGAAAGAGTTCAGAAGTGTTCCTTCCTCTTCCTCTGCAATTTTTTGGAATAGTTTCATAAGGATGGGTGTTACCTCTTCTCTAAATGTTTGGTAGAATTCACCTGTGAAGCCATCTGCTCCTGGAGTTTTGTTGGGCGTTTTTTAATTACTGATTCAATTTCAGTGCTGGTAATTGGTCTGTTCATATTCTGTTTCTTCCTGGTTCAGTTGTGGGAGATGATGCCTTTCTAAGAATTTATCTACTTCTTCTAGGTTGTCCATTTTATTGGCATATAGTTGTTCACGAGGTTCTACTGTTAACATGTGTTTACAGAGTGGTAAGTGCTTGAGACTGCACATGGAGGAGGTAGGGAAGGTAGGTGGGATGGGAACCCATAGCCTAGGCTCTTAGCCATACCACTAAACCCCTTTCCCCATGCCCTTAATAGGGGCTGAGTGAGGATGCCGTCTGAGGAAAGCCAGGTTGGAGGGCTGCTCCCCTCAAGCCCCTTGGAGGGGCTGGCTGGGCAGATTTAAACCCCCACCCCCACCCCACCCCATGCCAGGAACTGACAGTGAAACAAGGGCACAGCATAGGGGGCAGGGCAGACCCCAGAGTTGAGCTCCCCAACCCCTCGGCACCCCACACTTAGGTGTTCCTTAAGAGCAGCCGACCATCATCCCTGCCGACCCCCAACACATTCTGAGAGTCATCGCTTGTCAAAAATAATTTAATAGTCCATTTGGCGGTGTCCTGGGACCTGCTTGACAACCCCCCACCCCTAAGCCCTGAGCTCCAGCCCAGCCCAGCCACCCGCACCAGGGACCACCTCCCCACCCAGGACAGCTCTCCCAGCCCTAGACTCTGCCAGACCCACAGACGGGGGGTTTCCCCACAGCGCCTTTCCTGGCACCGCCCCCCCATTCCTGAGGAGCGCTGAGCCACCGCACTCCACCCCCCGTCAGAGCACAGCCCTGTCCCTGCGCCCCGTCAGGTCCTCCCTCCCACGCGGACACTGCAGCCCTGTGCTCAGCAGGAGACAGAAGAGACCTCAGCCTGGCCCCGGGGAGCCTGCAATCCACTAGGGGGTCAAGGCGCAAAAGCGGCCGGAGGCGGCGGAATCAGCGCGGTTCGCGGGCGCGGCTCTAGGGTCGGGCC